GCTGGAGGCGGCGACGGGGCCGATACGGGCGGCGGCGGGGCCACTAGGGGCGGCGACGGGGCTGCTGGAGGCGGCAACGGGGCCGCGAAGGGCGGCGACGGGGCGGCGAAGGGCGGCGACAAGGCCGCTAGGGGCGGCGACGGGGTGCGAAGAGGTCGCGAGGGGCCTCAAAGGTCGGCAACGGGGCCGCGAAGGGCGGCGATGGGGCCGCTAGGGGCGGCGACGGGGCCGCGAAGGGTGGCGACGGGGCCGCTAAGGGCGGCGACGGGGCCGCTAGGGGTGGCGCGACGGGCCGCTAAGGGCAGGGGACACGACGAGAGGGCGGCCCACGGGGCGTGCAACAGACAGTAGCAGCGGAAGCAGTAGGGTGGGCCCACAGGCCAGGAGCGTAGATGCTCTGATAGCATGTGAAGAAAATGAGGAATGAAGGAAGAGTGAGGGGTGGCACTAGCAGCAGATGGCATACATATAGGAAACCCTAATTGGGTTTTACTCGCTATAAAGTACCCCACTGCAGGCTAGATAATTATAACATTCGGACAATGTGTCCTTCTGGTACGTTGTCCGGAAAAATCCCAGGGTATCGTTTCAACAGTTCCTTTAGTTTGGGCGGTACTACTGCTAACAGTGTCTTAAAATTGCTCGGTTGATCTGCTTCTTCTACAACAGCAATATCCACTGCGTACACGTCAGCTCCAGCGGCGACTGCCCGTTTCATCGAGACGGCGTTGACGTGGACCGTTGAAGACTCAGGCGACTGCCAGCGAGGTAGTTCAATCCAGTTACCACTACTTCGCACAGTGCAGCTCCCTGTCGTCCAGTCAATTCTCCAGTTGTTTCGACGCAGCTAATCACGTCCCAGTAACATGTCGTGCCCATCCAGTGTCGTCGCAAGCATTTCCAGAGTAAACCCAAAGTTTCCCCCGCAGCGAACTTTTACTCTTTCCACCTGCTCCTCTGCGTGCCCCTTTGCCTTCTTCTCCTGAGTCCTCTCTTCCTGCTCTTGCCGGCCCGAAGTCGGACTCTCTTCGTGCTGCCAGTCCTACGGTGACGCGTCTCCTTGCTACTGTCGTCACTGACCCTTCCTTTGAGTCCACTGCTGCGTCTGCCCTAGTTGCTGAGCTCGTCGACTTTGTTGCTCGCTGTCGTCTAGACTACGCTGCTAGTCTTGTCGCTGAGTCAGAGTCTGTCTGTCCTCCGTCCGTCGGGGGTGAGTGTGCCCTTGGCACGGACGTCCTTGAGGACAGGCAGGAGGAGTTCCAGTGTTTGGCTGCTGCTTCACCTCATCTCGTGTCCGTACTGCTTACCCCTGAGGGAGACCCGGATGCACTTGACATACTGACTCCGCGCTCTTACGCAGAGGCGATAGAGGGTCCCTACTCCTCTCAGTGGCAGGCAGCTATGGACGCAGAGATGGCTTCCTAGAAGTCCACAGGCACCTACGTTGACGAGGTTTCCCCGCCTGGGGCGAACATCGTCAGTGGCATGTGGACTTTTAGGGTGAAGCGGCTGCCGGGTTCTCCGCCTGTCTTCAAGACGCGTTACGTGGCTCGTGGCTTCAGACAGCGTCAGGGAGTTGACTACTTTCAGACCTTCTCTCCCACCCCGAAGATGACCACTCTTCGGGTACTACTGCACATAGCTGCTCACCGCGACTACAAGCTGCACTCTCTTGACTTCAGCACTGCTTTGTTGCAGGGCAGCCTGCACCAGGAGATCTGGCTGCGTCGCCCACCTCGCTTCACTGGGTCTTTTCCTCTTGGTACCCAGTGGAGCCTCCGGCGGCCAGTCTACGGTCTCCGCCAGGCACCGCGTGAGTGGCACGACACACTGAGGACTACACTTGCAGCTCTTGGGTTTGCTCCCTCTATTGTCGACTCGTCGCTGTTTTTGCGCACCGACACTTTTTTGCCGCCGTTCTACATCCTCGTGTACGTCGATGACTTGGTCTTTGCCACAGCTGACACTGCTGGACTCGCCCACGTGAAGTCCGAGCTGCAGAAGAGACACACGTGCACAGACCTGGGTGAACTGCGCAGCTACCTTGGCTTGCAGATCACCCGGGACAAAGAACGCCGCACCATTACCCTGACTCAGTCACACATGGTGCAGCAGGTCCTTCAGCGCTTCGGCTTCATGTACTCTTCTCCTCAGGCCACTCCTCTGCCTACTCGCCACTCGCTCTCAGCTCTGCCTTCAGATGAGTCCGTAGAGTCGAGTGGCCCGTACCCAGAGCTTGTTGGCTGCCTCATGTACCTGATGACCTGCACACCACCTGACCTTGCATACCCTATTAGCATTCTTGCACGCTATGTTGCTCCTGGGAGACACAGACCGGAGCACATGGTTGCAGCAAAGAGGGTGTTGCGCTACTTGTGCAGTACGTCGGGCATGGGGCTTGTGCTTGTAGGGCAAAGTCCAGTGGTCCTCACTAGGCATGCAGACGCTTCTTGGGCTGACGACCAGGCTACGCAGCGGTCGTCACAGGGTTACACTTTCAGCTTTGGTTCCGGCTCTGTCTCGTGGCGGGCTACACGCTCGTCTTCTTTTCTCCGCTCTAGTTGTGAGGCGGAGATCTACATAGGAGCCATGGCTGCACAGGAGCTTCGCTGGCTCACCTACCTGCTTACTGACCTCGGAGAGCCACCTCGTTCTCCTCCAGTGCTGTACGTAGACAACAAGGCCATGTTTGCCTTGTGTCGGGAGCACAGACTGGAGCAGAGAACGAAGCACATTGCTCTTCGCTACTTCCTTGCTCGTGAGCTACAGCAGCGTGGCCAGCTGCGTCTTGCGTACGTGGCCTCTGAGGCCAACACTGCTGTACTCAGCTGGGTCTTGTGCCTGCCTTTCCTCACTTGCTCACCTCTTGACCTTGTTTGTACTGTTACATATATATATACACCTGCTCTTGCTTGTCTAGCCTTTTATATATACATGTAATCCTGCATGTGAACTCGCCTTTTGGCCTTGAACTTGTGCTCGGAATGTGTGGTGACTTTGTAATCCACACTGAGCTTGCTTTGCTTTGCTTTGCTTGACTGGTCTTGTGACCCCTTGTTCTCCCCCACTTTGCCTATGGGGGTGTGTCAGAACATTATAGCTTATAATTTTGTGTAGGCTGTAGTGGGGTAGCCCATAAGGGGTACAGCCCAATTAGGGTTAGTACTTGTACCCAACTGTTCATAGTTCAATCATTCTCGTTCTCTTTTCTCACTTAGCAGCGAAACGGCATACTGAATGTTCGTTGCGGCCGACTCGATGTAATTCGCGTCGAAGAAGACGTTCATTGTGAAGACCCACGATTAAACCGTTGGACCTTCACGCTAGCTCGGGTCGAAGCAAGACGGGCATTGCGGCTTGAGTGGCATTGGTGCCATAATGGCCTGTTCGCCACTTGTCGCCGCGAACTCCACGTGCCGACGGGCTTCGCGAGGCTCCCGCGGGCTTGGTGCGACCCTGTTTCCTCCCATGCCAGGCATCGGCTGGGCGATGCCATCACTGGCTGCGCCTGAGCGCTGTCCCACGCTGTTGTTTTGTGTTGGTGTGCCGGACGAAATGACGATCGGCTCGTCCGATTGTGCAGATGCATTTGTCTGTGCGTGTGGTGGCGCTGGAGTGTTCACCGTCGATTGCTGACGCGCGGAGTCACGTTCCGCCGTGAGCGTCGCAATTTCGAGCGCCGAATCTTCAGGTTGGCGCACCAGGCGGTCGAGCTGCTCCTGCGTCAATGTTGCGAGCGTGAATTCGGCCATGGCGGGGGTGTCTGGCGAGCTAAGCGAGAGCCTCGGTCGTGGCCGTGCGTGCTTACGAGAGAGCACTGTGAGCGGCGGTGCTGTGTCGCTGAGAGACGTCTCCCCCCCCCCCCAAAAAAAATTGAGATAGTGGGGAAGCGAAGGTGTGGGTGCGGTCCGAGAAGAGATCGTAGGCTCTGAATACCAAGTGTTACGAGTGCAATTGAGTGAACGAACGAGAATTGCACTATCGAAGCGAGAGTACAAAGAGCGAAGGCATGAGCGAAGAATATATAGCGAAACTACAGTGGTAACGGTAATGGATTGTGGTTGTCGCGCGACGGGCCTGGGACTGAGGTTGGGAAAAGTGTCGAAGCGGAGGCCCGGAGCGCGGGTTACCCACCGGACCGTGAGGTCGGGGTGCGACGTGCGAAGGTGGCGGGAGGATTGTCGATGCGAGTGGTAACGGTGGTGACTGTGGGGCTACAGTGGTGTACACGCTGAGCTAGGACGCAAAGTAAGGAAAAGGAATTTTCCTTAAAATAGACTTATATGTTAAGGTTGCTTCTGTATTTCTGCCAGCGCTTTGTCACTGATTTCCTCCTAGCGAGAAACGCCATTATTGGTGCCCTTCCTGCTGGGGGTCCGAGCCGCGAAATTGCTGGACCTGCATCCAATTCCTCACTACGAAGATGCAGCCACTCTTGGAGCATTTTTCTGACTCAGCTGGTGGTTCTGCACGCTCTAAATGTTTCCAGAGCGGTTCAAGTTTGCAGACTCCCAGCCCGCGAAGCGCCTTCTGCACGCCAAGTCAGGAGCCCCAAACCAACCAACTTTTCCCCTGGTACAAATATCAGACTTCAGTCTCGAGTTTCGTGCCCGCTACTGCTACATGCACCTGCTTCACAGAAAGCGGGATCACAGTTCACTGACTCGGCTAAGCAGGATGGTCCGTATCGAGCTGCCTACGACAGAGCGAATGCGGGCTGGGAGGTTTCGGCTTCGTGTGCGTTAAGCAGCTTTTAAGAAAGCCATTATTGTCACAAAATTATCATTGCCTCCGGGAATTGTTCCCAAGTCGTCGCAACTCCTGCTCAGATAGAACCATAATTTTCCGCTCAATCTGTAATCCCGTCGCGTCTTCTATTTTTCCAGATCAGACTGCGCCTCATTCAGAAGGACAAACCGAGAAGAAGTTTTTCCACTGGTCGTGACTCTTCGTATCCTTCCAAAGTCTCCTCATCGCGCCGCTATAATAGTAGGTCCGACATGTTTGTCCCTGTAGAAACTCGCACCGCCGCGGCCCCGCAGTGGCCGGCGGTTCGCAATCACGACCACGTTACCGTTGAAGACATTGACGACGACTACGAATCTTCCGACGACGACAGCGACGCGTTTTCCACAGCGTCATCCGAGGATCTGACGATCGAAATCGAGTCGCTCAAACGCGACGCCGCAAACAAGGTGTTTTCGCCTTCCGCCGACGCGGCGTCCGCCGCCCCCGCTTCTGTGTTGACCTTCCGCAACATCTGCTACTCCGTCTACGTCAAGCAGCGCAAAGGGGAGCCTTCCGCTGCCGGCCCGCAATACGCGCGGCAGGACAGCACTTTAGCGAATGTCCCCGGACTGCCGCCTCAGCAGGGCTTTCAGGAGTCTTCCGCGGCACAAGCTGGTGCGCCGGGAGCGGATGGAGTTGCAACCGGCACCGAAACCGGCGCCGCGCCAGGCGGCGGCATGTTCGGCGGTTTGCGCAAGAAGCGCGTTCGGAGGCAGATCCTAACGGGCGTGAACGGCGAGGCGCGGTCGGGGGAGGTGACGGCGATCATGGGCGCAAGCGGAGGCGGAAAAACGACGCTGCTGAACATCCTTGCGCAGCGAATCTCCGCCGGGCGGCGGAAGGGAACGGTGGAGCTGGACGGGGAGGAGGTGAGCGCAGCGATGATTCGGCGCGTTTCCGCGTACGTGATGCAGGACGACGTGCTGTTTCCGTCGCTCACGGTGCGCGAGACCCTCATGTACGCTGCGGAATTGCGCCTGGAGCCGAAGTTCTCGCGACGCGAGAAGGAGGAGAAGGTCACGCGGTTGATCGACCTGCTTGGACTGGCGAAAGTGGCGGAAACGCTGATCGGCGGCGAAAGGAAAAGGTAAGCGCCACGGGAGACGATGAAAGCCACTTACTTTCACTAACATAGAAGCTGTGCGATGTATTTCAATATTCCCCGCGTCTGCTAGACTCTAAACCCCAAATTAGATCACTTCTAAACCACATGCCAAACCTATTTACATGGACATGTACATAAAACTGTTACTAATTCAATTTGATTACCTCTGCTTGCTTTCGCAGGGGCGTTTCTGGCGGTGAGCGAAAGCGAGTGGCGATAGGGGTGGAGATGGTGAGCGACCCGAAGATTCTGTTTCTCGACGAGCCAACCTCGGGGTTGGATTCAACCAATGCCTTCCGCGTTGTACGCGCTATCAAGTCCGTCGCGATCCAGACCGCGAGCATTTCCGTGATGGTGATCCATCAGGTCAGTCTACATCCATCTACAATCTCTGTTACGTAAATTCTTAACTCGGTATCAACTACATCAACACAAATTACATTTCATAACGCCAACACACCACCCCTCCCTCCCACCTCCCATTCCCACACCCCCTTTTTTTTTTGCTTCAACAGCCATCATATCGTGTTCTTTGTCTCATCGACAAGCTGCTTCTCTTGGGCGTTGGCCAGGCAGCCTATTTGGGCCCACCTGCCAACCTCCCAAGATTCCTTGCCTCTCTGGGAAGCCCGGTTCCGGAAGGCTCAAACAGCACAGAGCATGCCTTGGATGTCATGGCCGTGTTGCAAACCCAGGGTGTTACCGACATCCAAGCCTATGCCCAAGCCTGCGAAGTCGGTGTTACCGACCCTGTGATGGCGGCTCGTAAGGCCCTGGAGGTGCCCAGCGATGCTGGTAGCCCAGCGAATCCCAAGGGGAAACTACACTGGGTTAGGCTTGGCAAAAAGGAGTATGAAACTGTGGGGAAGGAGAAAGAGATTAAAGGCTCACAATATGCAAACGGATGGTTTGGGGAGCTGATGGTGCTGACCAGGAGAGCTGCTGTTAACATCATGCGCACTCCTGCGCTGTACCTGCTGAGGCTGGCGCTCATCCTTGTAACGAGTGTGCTTCTGGCGATTCTGTTTTGGAAGCCAGGAGAAACGTAAGTGTGGCATGGCGTTGCTGGTCAGGTGTGGTGCGTTGGTAATGTCTTGTCTGCTCTGTGCTAGATTGGGTGGTTGCTGGTCAGCTCAGCAGCGAGGTTTGGAAATGGTGGTCAGGTCTGGTGCCAAGCTTGGAGAAGGCTGGTGAGGTTCAATGGAGGTTTAGAGAATGGCGGGATTGAGTGGATGGTGGTCAATCAGGGGATTAGACTAGTGTATGATAGTTGGTAAGGCACTTCAAAACTCGTTTCACTCGGTCGCATTCTTTACTGTGCTTCTCGCTTCGGCGTTCCCTACGCATTGTGGTTGATGGTGATGCAATTGCCAACTCTAGATTTGTATGCTGAATTTTGTTCTCTTTATGCATGCCTCATGTGTTCACTGCAGGAAGGGGTGACGATTCGGCTGTCCCCGCTACATTTGTATGCCATGATTTGTTTTCTCCATACCGCCCTCATTTGTTTTCTCTGTGCCTCGCTCGTTTGTTCACCGCAGGAAAGAAGGGGTGACGATTCGGCTGTCCCCGCTACATTTGTATGCCATGATTTGTTTTCTCCATACCGCCCTCATTTGTTTTCTCTGTGCCTCGCTCGTTTGTTCACCGCAGGAAGGAAGGGGTGACGATCCGGCTGTCCTTCCTGTCCTGTGCCTCCTGCATCGTCTTCTACACCTCGTGCGATGCTGTGCCGATATTTATCGAGGTGTGTTTGAGTGGTCAGAAATGGTTTTTTCTGCTTTCATTTCAATGATTCGATTTGAAATCTTTGAGGTCGCGAACATTGCAATGTGTTGCATTCATCTAAGCGTTGCATTCATTGCAATGTGTTGCATTCATCTAAGCGTTGCATTCAATGCAATGTGCTAGTTTCATCTCAGCGTTGCATTCATTGCCATGTGTTGCATTCATTTTAAAGCGATTCATTCATTAATCTTATTTGAGAAACGTCTAACTCATCCCCCACTCCCATTTCAATTGTCTACTCTCCTACACCACCAGGAATGCGCAATATTCACAAGGGAGTCAGCCAATAACGCGTACAGGGCATCAACCTACCTAGTGTCATCAACCCTAGTCTACCTGCCGCTTCACTTCCTCATGGCCTTCCTGCTCACCGCCGTCTCCTGGGGAAGCATCAGCCTTGCGGGTGGCGGAGAGGGGTTTTTCTTCATGGTGGTGGCGTGTTTCGTCATGTTCTTCACAGCCAATGCCATCGCAACATGTGTCAGCATATGCGTCAAGGAGTGAGTCGCATTGGGACTCATGCGGTTTCTCACTCGCACTCATGTGGTTTCTCGCTCGCACTCATGTGGTTTCTCACTCGCACTCATGTGGTTTCTCACTCGCACTCATGTGGTTTCTCACTCGCACTCATGTGGTTTCTCACTCGCATTCATGCGGTTTCTCACTCGCACTCATGCGGTTTCTCACTCGCTCTCATGTGGTTTCTCACTCATGCGGTTTCTCGCTCTCGCTCATCACATGTTTCTAACATGCCAACACCTGAATGCACCTCTTTGGCCTAGGGCTTTTCACATGTCGCAAGATTTGGGTGGGGTCAACACATTTCACTAGATTCCATTCAGCATGTCATGTCTTCATTTGAGGCGCCCCATTCCTCGTGCTCACCATTGAGGCGCCTCAAAAGTCAAAATCTGGGAGGGTTAACACATTCTAGAGGATCCCGTTCATCATGTCATGTGTTCTTGCCCCATTCCTCGTGCTCACCAGCCCACCCATCCATGGATTCGTCTCCCATGTCGAGCTCATTCTCATGCTCAAGCCCTCACTCCTTCCCTCCTCTCCTACTTTTCCTGTACCCCTCTTCTCACTCCCTATTTTACTTCCTTCTCTCCATCCCTCCTCCCTTCCTCCCCTCCATTGCAGTGTTGTACTGGCATATGCAACTGCCATCCCTCTAATGTCCTCCCGCTCTGTGCTCTCCACATTTCCCCATCACCACCCCCCCTACCTTGCAGCGTCGTCCTGGCATATGCAACTGCCATCTCAATAATGTCCTACTTCTACCTCGTTAGTGGCTTCTTCGTTACAAGGAAGCAAATGCCCAACATGCTCATATGGCTACACTACTTGTCGCCCTTCAAATACGCTTTTGAAGCACTTGCTATAAACCAATTCGACAGGTGAGACCAATGTTTTTTCCCCTGACTTTTCTTCTCCTTCCCAGTCATAGATGCTTAAACTTCGAGTTTTCCATCCCATCCCACCCCACCCCATCCCACTCCACCCCACCCCACCCCATCCCACTCCACCCCACCCCACCCCATCCACTCCACCCCACCCCACCCCATCCCACCCCACCGCCCACCCCACCGCCCACCCCATCCCACCCCACCGCCCACCCCATCCCACCCCACCGCCCACCCCATCCCACCCCACCGCCCACCCCATCCCACCCCACCGCCCACCCCATCCCACCCCACCGCCCACCCCATCCCACCCCACCGCCCACCCCATCCCACCCCACCGCCCACCCCATCCCACCCCACCGCCCACCCCATCCCACCCCACCGCCCACCCCATCCCACCCCACCGCCCACCCCATCCCACCCCACCGCCCACCCCATCCCACCCCACCGCCCACCCCATCCCACCCCACCGCCCACCCCATCCCACCCCACCGCCCACCCCATCCCACCCCACCGCCCACCCCATCCCACCCCACCGCCCACCCCATCCCACCCCACCGCCCACCCCATCCCACCCCACCGCCCACCCCATCCCACCCCACCGCCCACCCCATCCCACCCCACCGCCCACCCCATCCCACCCCACCGCCCACCCATCCCACCCCACCGCCCACCTCACCCCACCCCACCCCAACCCATCCCATCCCACCCCACCCCACCCCACTCCGTCTCACCCCACCTCACCTCACCCCACCCCATCCCATCCCACCCCACCTCACCTCACCCTGCCCGATCTCCTCCAGGCCCGAGCCCTGCTACATGACTATCAGCAGCACCTCAGGAATCCCAGGCGGCTCGTCTCCCACCAATCCCACAGCAGAGCAGCTTCTGGCCGGGTCCGGCACAGCATCGGGTGGTGCGGGTCAGTCTGCTGTACCTGTGGGTGCCACGGTGTGCTTGTTGACCGGGGCACAGGTGCTAGCAGAGAGGGCGATTGATCAGCTGAGCAAGTGGGAGTGCCTTTTGGTACTGCTGGTGTTTGGGCTTGCTGTGAAGCTGATGACCTTTGTGCTGCTGGTGCGACTGCAGCGGGCCAAGCAGAAGTGAATAAGGGTCCGTTCGTCGTGGTACTGTGGGTGCCACAGGGTGCTTATGGGCTGCGGCACTGGTGCTAGCAAAGAGGTCGATTGATGTTTTTTTGTTCTTGTAAATGTGCTGTATACTGTCAGTTCCTAGTCAGCACGTTAAATTCCTAGCTCTCTATTTGATCATTCTGCAAAATTGGTGCAAACAATACATGGTACGACGTACACCCTCAAGTTGAATGAAGGGGATTTTACAAGCAGCTAAATATATTATATACCCTACATAACCACACAATCTTAGAGAAGGATATTAAAATCGAAGCCCTTCTTTATAAGGGTTCATGTCAGCCACGTCACATTGTAAGCATGACAGTGCAAGAGATAGATGGCCTTCCAGGTGGCACCTGCTGTTTCGTGGTCAGGTCACACAAAAATGCCACTTCGCTGAAGCAGCAACCTCGGGCATCTGTCGCCATCGGACTGGCTGCAGCTTTACCTTTTTTTCCCGCTTTCCACCATATACAGTAACAGAGCTGTGAACTACCCTTCAAACGAAGTTCCAGAATGCATGTTCGGTGGTACCGAACAGGATTCTCAAGTCTCAGATTCTCATTCGCTCTCTCACAGGGCCAACCCCCTCAATTCGCGAAGAATGCACTCTAATGAGTTACCAGTTTCTTGAGATGAGGAGCTCGCTGAGCTTCATGCAACCACTCATCCCTCGATTTCACCAGCAATGATCACGGGTAGAAGCTCCAGCGAGAAATACGGAAACCTGTAACCATTCTCGTCGATCGTTGAAACCGCAGCCTGCGCAACGGGTAGTTCCTGACAAGCCTCGATTCCTCTGCAACCTCTTTCAGACACCTTCTGTGGCCTTCACTCTCCCAGATCCTCTTCGTTGGACTAGAAGCATCATTGCTCGTGCCCTCCATTGCTTCCAGAGTTTCACTGAAGAAGAGGCTAGTGGATCTGGGAAGCCGTTCAGGGTGATAGTCGACGACTATCTTTCCTTGTGCGACGCGATTTGCGCTGCGCTAATTCCTCAGTGTCGCTAGCCTCTTGTCCAATCATGGCGACCGCGTGGAGTCTAACTTCGTCGTCGTCGTCGGTTCGCAGCGTGTCGTTTTCCGGCCTTCGCTGCTCCACCCGAACGACGAAAGCCCCTGCTGCCGCACGGTTCCCGGCCTCCGCGTCTCGCGGCGTGGTTTGCGCTGCACGGAAGCAACGGTCGCCGTCCAATTCGCGTGTTGCGCCCGAGGGCTCGGCGCTCGAAGTGGCGGATCAGGCGGAGCAGCAAGCGCAGCTTGCGGAACAGCAAGCGGAGCAGCATGCGGAGCATGTTGAGCAGCAAGAGCAGGAGCAGGCAGAGATCGTCACTGATTTCGTCGGGAACAATGGAGCGAATGTCTTCGCTTCAGGTGTGTGCTCTCGCGAGTTAGCAACACAATATTTAAGCAATAATCTACAGCGGCGACTTAGTGACACAGAACTAAATAGAAGAATTAGTGAGTGTCGTATGGTTTACCAACACTGGTTTGAAGCAGGAGTTAGGTGCTTAGCTCAATTACCGCCACGCACGCTTTATCCACCGAGTGCTACCGATCCAGCTGTCGAATATCTGCCGTGTCAGACTACATCAGCGCGAGTTGCTCAATAGTGTGCTTTTTTCTTCAAGGTTTTAGAGCGTGTCAAGTGAATTGTGCTTATCTGCTGGGTCGTGTTATTTGAATTGTCCTTATATGCGAGGTGATGTCACGCTTATGGTGCTTATCCGCGTACGCGTGTGCTTCCTGTCTGATTGCTCGGCGGTTGGTACTGACACAAATCCGCTTTTCGTTTGGGACTCCTCGAGTGTCATTATCAAGTTTCATTCTATATTTTATTCAACACTATTCTATACGATGGCTAGGGCTTGGACGCAGACATTCGAGTTTCATCTGTTTCAATTCGCGTCTACTCTAGAGCTCCATTTATTAAACTTTCGAATTGTCTCTTGCCAGCTCGACTGACGGATTTTCTCGTGGTGATGCGTGGCATGGTCCTGTTTTGTCTGTGCTGTGCTGTGTTGTGTTGGGCGGTGCTGTGCGGTGCTGTGCGGTGCTGTGCGGCGCTGAGCTGTGTGATGTGCTGGCGTGGCAGAGGACATGGACATTCATCTGCACCTGCTGCAAAGCGACATGGAGGTAAGAGGCCTTGGCGTTGTGTGCACATGCAGCGTCGTGCCACCACTCCCACCATCGTCGCTTGCAGAATTGGCATCTTAAGAGTCGGGACAGTCATGGGGCGTTTGGAATAATCGTTTTTTGATATAGGCGGTTACAAACTAAGGCCCCTCTTTCAGGCGTTTACAATCCCCGCTATGAACTACTTTGTCCTGCCATTGCTTGCACCTACGCTTTCTCAAAATGTTTTGCAATCTGCAGGAAATCCTGTATGCTGATACGTGGCCTGCATTATAGATGTCTGCGTTAGTGATAACTACCAGCGCCATTCCTGCTCACGGTGAAGTACTTGGGTCCAACTCTCAACCTTCAACCCTCAACCCTCAACCCTCAATCCTCAATCCTCAACCCTCAAGCCTCAATCCTCAATCCTCAACCCTCAACCCTCAATCCTCAATCCTCAATCCTCAATGCCTGCAGGTGGTCTCGGTGGTGGCAGGCAGCGGACATGAAGGAGAACGGCTCTCGCTGCACACACGAGCTGCACCCTTGCTTGTGGCAAAGCAAAGAGTTGTGCCTCTCTCTCTTTCACACGAGAACACTGAACCTGTGGCCAGGTGGACTCAGTGGTGGCAGCGGACATGAAGGAGAACGGCTCGCGCAGCACACACGAGCTGCACCCTTGCTTGCTTCAACCGATTCTTACCCTGAACCCTGACCCCTTTTTCCTTGCTGCAGGTGGACTCAGTGGTGGCAGCGGACATGAAGGAGAACGGCTCGCGCAGCACGCGGCGCACGAAGCTCATCTGCACCGTGGGGCCAGCGAGCTGCTCCTTCAAGCAGCTGGAGGCGCTGGCGTCGGGGGGCATGAACGTTGCCCGGCTGAATATGTGCCACGGCACCCACGAGTGGCACCGGTGGGTGGGTGGGTGGATTGTTGGGTGGGTGGGTGGATTGGTGGGTGGGTGGGAAGGGTCAGCGGTATTGTCACGAGAGAAACGGGCTCGCATCCCAGTTCAAACAGGGCAATGGTTGAGAAGGTGTGGCAGCTGAATGCAAACAAGTCATGTCTTGTCCCGCACTTTCTCTTATGATCTTGTTTCCTCCTCTCCCTCAACCCCCTCTCCCCAACCACATCAAAGGGACACGTGGTGGAGTAGGTGTGGCTGCTGAACAGAGAGACGAGATATTTTGATCCCCCCACCACTGTCTCCATGCACTTCCTCCCTCCCGCATGCCCTCCCCTTTTCCCATCCTCCCTCCGAACCTTCTCCTCCCCCCTTTTTCTCGCGCTAACAGGGACGTGGTGGACAAGGTGCGACGGCTGAACGCGGAGAAGGGGTATTCCATCGCGATTATGATGGATACGGAGGGTAGTGAGATTCACCTGGGTGATTTACCCGGAGACTCGTCCGTGAAGGCTGAGGTGAGTGAGCAAGCTGTGACTTGCACAGTGCGAATGGGCTGTGACAGTAATGGAGGGTCGCATATGTGACTGATACATGTGACGCTAACAGAAGGATGATGACGTGGTGTTAGTGAGGGCTACATTACATTTCACCCGTCAACAAATGCATCCATGTTCTGGTTTTCAGGTTCATCACCTGCCCAGTCCTGGTGCTCGATTTTTTTTAATCCTTGTTGGCCTCTCTTCATGGATGGGCTCATGCGTGAGCGCATGGGTCGGTGGGCGCATGGGTGGACGGATGAGTGGGGGTTGGACATGAGCAAGAACCGAATCCGAACCGCGCAGACCAGTCTATTGGTTGACTGGAACCGAACCGTTTTGGTTCGACAAATAGACCGACTCTACTCGGTGCGGGTCGAACCGGTTCAGGTTCGGTTCTTGCTAATGTCCAGGCCATTCATGTGCCCACCTATGCGCCCAATCTCACAAAACGGCCACCAATGGACGTTCACGGCACGTCAGTTCTCGCTCCTGTCGGCGCCCCAAAAGCCGTGCTCTTTAGCAGAACCTCTACGCCCTCATCCCCTGCCCCGCCCGTCACCCAATCTTCCTCCACCTTCACATCACAGGATGGCAACCTGTGTGGTTGTTCAAAGGGTGCGTTGTTTTGCTACCTCTGTCCTTCAACACGACATCCATGCTTCCTCAACCACCCTGCCTGCGCCACCCACCACCCATACCCCCCCAGGATGGCGACCTGTGGACGCTCACAATGCTCTAGTTCCCCCAACCCATCCGTCAACAACACTCTCATATTCCCGTCCCCATTCCCCTCCAACTTCCATCCATCCCCTCCACCCCAACAGGACGGCGACCTATGGACGTTCACAGTGCGCCAGTTCCCTGGGCCCCTGCCGCCCCAAACCGTGCTGGTCAACTACGATGGCTTCGTGGACGGTGAGAGGATGGGGGGGTTGGGGAGGGGTTTGGGAATGGGGGGGGAATGTGGAGTTGATTGGTGAGCCCCTGCCGCCCCAGACCATGCAGGTCAACTATGATGGCTTCGTGGACGGTGAGAGGAACAAGTGCGGGAAAGGGGGATTGCAAGGGGTGGGGGGGGATTGGGTGGGGTTGGAGTGGGTATTTGAGTAGTACCTGGTTGGTAAAGCCCGTCCTGGACAGTGCAGGTCAACTACGATGCTTCGTGGACGGTGAGAGGAAGAAGTGGGGGGAAGGGGAGTGGTGGGGGGGGGGTAGCAGGTGAGAGAGGAAGGTAGGGCATGTGAGAATGAAGTAAGGCATGGTTTGTGAGAATGAAGTAAGGCATGGTTTGTGCGCCACTGCTGACGGGGAGATGGTGCGATTCCAGGTGCTCATGAAGATTGGTTGGTTGGTCCCAACGTGACCATGAGGGGTCATTGCCACCGCGCTCATCCATCCTGTCCCTCTGTTTTCGTTCCCTCTATCCTTCCCTTCCCCCTCTCCTTCCCCCCCTCTCCTTCCCTTTCCTCTCTCCCCGTACTCCACATTATTCCAGACATCATGGTGGGGTGGGGGATGTGAGGGTGGCAGACGGGGGCATGGTGCGATTCCAGGTGCTCAGGAAGATTGGTCCCCACGTGACAGTGAGGGCCATCGATGCGGGGCTAATCCTGCCCCTCTCCTCTCCTATTTCTCTTCGTTTTCCCCTCGCTCTTCCCCCTCGTCCCCCTTCTCCCCTGCACCCCAAACAGACATCATGGTTGGCGATGAAGTGGTGGCGGATGGTGGCATGGTGCGTTTCCAGGTGCTGCGCAAGATCGCCCTGACGTGACAGTGAGGGTCATTGATGCGGGGCTCATCCTGCCCTGTCTCGTCCCCACTCCCTCCCCTTGCCTCCCTCCTTCTCTCCTTCCATTTCCTTCCCTCCAACTGGGCAGATATCACAGTGGGGGATGTGAAGGTGGCAGACGGGGGCATGGTGCGATTCCAGGTGCTCAGGAAGATTGGTCCCGACGTCACCGTGAGGATCATCAATGCTCCGCTCATCCTGCCCCTCTCCTGCTCCCCTCCTCTCCTCTCCTCTCCTCTTTCTCTGCCCTTCCCCCTCTCCCACCCCTGCATTCCCCACAGATATCACAGTGGGGGATGAGGTGGTGGCGGATGGGAGCATGGTGCGATTCCAGGTGCTCAGGAAGATTGGTCCCGACGTCACAGCCAGGTTGATCGAGCGGGGCTCATCTTGCCTGCCGCTCCCCTATCCTTCCCCTCCCAATCTCCCTCTACCCCACATTGCTGCAGACATCACGGTAGGAGATGAGGTGGTAGCCGACGGGGGCATGGTGCGATTCCAGGTGCTGCGCAAGATCGGCCCCGATGTCACAGTGAGGGTCATTGATGCGGGGCTCATCCTGCCGCGTGCCAACGTCACTTTCTTCCGGGACGGCAAGCTCGTTCGGGGGAGGAACTCCATGCTGCCCACCATCTCCTCCAAGGTGCGACTAGCTGTGTGTGTGTGTGTGTGTGTGTGTGTCTGTGTGTGTGTGTGTGTGTGTGTGTGTGTGTGTGTGTGTAAAATGTGAGAGGTAAAAGCTCCTGTCACCTTGCCTCCATGCTCATCCTGCCCACGCACCTGCCAACCAACGTCACCTTCTTCCGCGATGGCAAGCCCGTCAGAGGCTGCAACTCCATGCTGCCCACCATCCCTCCAAGGTGCGTGCACCGGTGCTCTGCTCCCCACCCTGTGCTGCCCCAAAGTCAGCGCCCTTCTCAACACCCATCCTGCTCACTCACCTCGCGTGCCAACGTCACCTTCTTCAGCATGGAGTTGACGGCAGCAAGCTCGTTAGAGGCCGCAACTCCATGCTGCCCACAATCTCCTCCAATCCAAGGTACGTGCGTCCCGCTGCTCCCTCCGTTCCCACCTCCTTCCGTGCGTGTCAACCAGTAGTATTCTCCCTGCTCTTCTCCATCTTCTTCTTATCCCCCATCCCTTCCTTTCCCCCCACCTAAGTGGAGAAAGAAGCGTCCTGCGTCTAGGACGCTTGCGTCCAGACGCAGCGTCTTAGACGCAGGACGCTAGAGGAGGGCCTTTAGGACGCATGAAAAGACGCATGCCCGGGCAGGGCAAAAAAAACCCCGGGCAGCCGAAAAATGATGTTATAGGGTATGGGAAGGGGGGGGGAACGACGATGCACACATTTGAGGCAAAATTGTCCCCTTTACATTTCCAGGGTTTAAGGTTTACGAAGGAGAATTGTCTTGGTAAACCCTCTAGGGTGTTTTTGATGGTCGAAATGGGTTAGGGGGGGTCGACATGACACGAAATTGACAGTCGCGTCGAAATCGTTGAAGTCAATTTCGCGCTGAGGCAAATTTTTTTTCGGGTCAGCCTGAAAATAAAAACGAGGTGCGTCCTGCGTCTGGACGCGCGTCCTGCGTCTCTGCGTCTGGACGCTGCGTCCAGACGCAGGACGCAGCAGGACGCGTGCGTCTTTCTCCACTTAGCCCCCCACCACCAGCGTTTGATTGACGTTGCCTCTGGTATTGCCATGGGGGTGGATTTCATCGCCATCTCGTTTGTCAAGCTGGCCTCTTGACCTGTACCTTCTTCCCTTTCATCCCCACCTTCCCCTTCTCCTCTTCCCCCTTCCCCCGTCCCCCCTCTTCCTCCCCCCACCAGGATTGGATCGACATTGACTTTGGCATTGCCATGGGGGTTGATTTCATCGCCATCTCGTTCGTCAAGTCCCCTGACGTCATCACGCACCTCCGCAGCTACATCAACGCCCGCTCGCCCAACCGGTGGGTGCTGTGCGATGCGGTGTGGTGGTTTTCTGTGCTGTACTGTGCGGTACTGTGCTGTGCATTGCTGTCCCGTTAAGGTGGAATATACCGTACAGTGCCTCAAATATTGTATTTCCTCTCTCTCTCTTCCCCGTCCCGCCCTTACACATTCACAGGTACACCGGGCTGATCTCAAAGATCAAGAGCTGCGAGCCTATGAAGGCTGCCATGTGCTCTTTCTCTCTTGTGACTTGTCCCTCTTCCTCCCCCGCCATCCCTCCTCCCCACCACCCACACCCCACACCACCGCAGTTACATCGGGCTGATCTCAAAGATCGAGAGCTGCGTGTCCATGAAGGTTACAATATGATGTTTTCTCCCTACTCCTCCATCGTCCCTCATGTTCCCTCCCCACCCTCCCTGCTCACCACCGCAGTTACATCGGGCTCATCTCAAAGATCGAGAGCTGCGAGTCCATTGCGCGTCTGGAGGAGATCATTGCTGTCTCCGATGGCGCCATGGTGGCTCGAGGCGACCTGGGGGCGCAGATCCCCCTGGAGGAGGTATGTGGGTGCACTGGGGGACGGGGAAACATTGGGGTGGGTGTGTTGGTTAGTCCATCGTTTGTCTGGAGGCGATCATTCCCGTGTGTGATGGCACCATGGTTGCTCGAGGCGACCTGGGCGCGCAGATTCCCCTGGAGGAGGTGCGTGTGTAGACGGGGGCTTGATGGGTAGAGATGGATTCCCCTGGAGGAGGTGCGTGTGTGTGGCTTGGTGGAGAGAGATGGAGGAAGATGGGGGGACAGTGGGGGGTAGGATTGGGCTGGACTGCAGGAACGGGGTGGGGAGTCCATAGCTCGTCTGGAGGAGATCATTGCTGTGTGTGATGGTGCCATGGTGGCTCGAGGCGACCTGGGCGCGCAGATCCCCCTCGAGGAGGTATGTTTGTGTGGCCTGGGAATCCCACGTTGGAGATGCGGGGTTGGATAAGGGCAGATGACGGGGAAGAGGGCTAGAGTGAGGGTGTACTTCTCGCCTGGAGGAAATCATTGCCGGACTCTGATGCTGCCATGGCGCCATGGGTGCAGCACGGCATTCGTGCAGATCCCTTAGTTGCCTCGAATCGGTCTTTCAGCACCACCTGAAAACAAGGCAGTGACTGTGCTGACGCACTTGGTCTCTGTGCTGACGCACTTGGTCTCTGTGCTGACGCACTTGGTCTCTCTCAGCGCCTCCTATTCCCTTGTCCCCCATCTCTCCCGGTCTCCTTCCCACCAGGTGCCATCGGTCCAACAGGGCATTGTGCAGATCTGCTTGCGGTGCCATCAGGTGCCCGACATTGTGACCTAAACAAGCCAGTCATTCCGGCATGACCATGTCTCACGTCTGCTTCCCACAGTCTCCCCCTCCCTTCCCTCCCCACCCCCACCCATCCCACCCCACCATGTGCCATCAGTGCAGCGGGACCTCATGCATATCTGCCGTGACCAAAAAGCCGGTGACCCTGCTGTGTCACTAACCGCACAACCACCCAATCCCCTGTCTCTTCCCACACCTCCTTTCCACCCATCTTGCCCCACCAGGTGCCATCAGTGCAGCAGGACATAGTGCAGATCTGCCGCGATCTCAACAAGCCGCTCATCGTGGTATGCAGTGCAGCTAACCACTCAACAACCTGCGTCCATTCCGCCATGCATCACCTCTCTGTATCCCGCCCCACCAGGTGCCGTCAGTGCAGCAGGACATCGTGCAGATCTGCCGCGATCTCAACAAGCCGGTCATCGTGGCATCACAGCTGCTGGAGTCGATGATTGAGTTCCCCACGCCCACTCGCGCTGAGGTGAGCGAGGGAGGAATGAAGCAATGCAGGGGTGAAGTGGCCATGGATGGTTGGCTCAGTAGACAGGGTGAGTATCATCGTGGCATCCCAGCTGTTGGAGTCAATGATCGAGCTCCCCACGCCCACTCGTGTAGAGATCAGAGAGGGGGATAGAGGGTGGTTTCGTGAGGAAGAAATTGGGAGCGAGGGAGTGGGTCGTGGCAGTGATGCTTGCATCTGCTGGAGTCGATGATTGAGCTTCCCGCTCCCTCTCTTGCACTTCCCTTCCCACCACCCGCTCTTCCAGGTGGCGGACACAGCAGAAGCAGTGAGGCAACGCGCCCATGCACAGCAGAAGCAGTGAGGCAACGCGCCCATGCACAGCAGAAGCAGTGAGGCAACGCGCCCATGCACAGCAGAAGCAGTGAGGCAACGCGCCCATGCACAGCAGAAGCAGTGAGGCAACGCGCCCATGCACAGCAGAAGCAGTGAGGCAACGCGCCCATGCACAGCAGAAGCAGTGAGGCAACGCGCCCATGCACAGCAGAAGCAGTGAGGCAACGCGCCCATGCACAGCAGAAGCAGTGAGGCAACGCGCCCATGCACAGCAGAAGCAGTGAGGCAACGCGCCCATGCACAGCAGAAGCAGTGAGGCAACGCGCCCATGCACAGCAGAAGCAGTGAGGCAACGCGCCCATGCACAGCAGAAGCAGTGAGGCAACGCGCCCATGCACAGCAGAAGCAGTGAGGCAACGCGCCCATGCACAGCAGAAGCAGTGAGGCAACGCGCCCATGCACAGCAGAAGCAGTGAGGCAACGCGCCCATGCGCTCATGCTCTTGGGCGAGTCAGCCATCGGGCAGTTCCCAGAGAAGGCGCCAGCTTCAACCACCCGTTTCTGCTCCCCCCCACACACCTATCCAGGTGGCGGACACAGCAGAGGCGGTGAGGCAGAGGGCAGACGCCTTGATGCTCTCGGGCGAGTCAGCCATCGGGCAGTTCCCAGAGAAGGCGCTCGCAGTGCTGCGCACCGTGGCAACCAAGATAAAAGGGTTCAATGTACTCCTCCCCAAAACACTCTCTTCCCGCTTTCTCTTGCCCGTCCCCCTCTGCCCACCCCCTGCGCCCTCCCCTTGTCTATCCAGGTGGCTGATACAGCAGAGGCGGTGAGGCAACGCGCAGACGCCCTAATGCTGTCAGGAGAGTCAGCCATCGGGCAGTTCCCAGAGAAGGCACTGGCTGTGTTGCGCACGGTGGCAACGAGGATAGAGGGGTACGGGCGGGCGGAGCAGGGCGGCGAGCAGGAGGCAGACATTGCGCTGCTGCCGGAGCTCTCCGACGTGCTCTCTGAACGGATCTCCGAGCAGATTTGCGCTGCTGCCGCCCACATGGGTGAGTGGCTATGTGTGAGCGTTCAGGAGGCCGTTTGTATCGGGCATTGGGCAGCAGGGATGCACACACACACAGTGGCGAGCAGGAGGCAGACATTGCGCTGCTGCCAGAGCTCTCCGACGTGCTCTCTGAACGGATCTCCGAGCAGATCTGCGCCGCTGCGGCACACATGGGTGAGTCCTTGGCAGTGGGTTTATAGGTGTTGCCTTCACACTACCAACCACACACAGTGGCGAGCAGGAGGCAGACATTGCCCTGCTGCCAGTGGTCTCCGACGTACTCTCTGAACGGATTTTCGAGCAGATCTGTGCTGCCGTGGCCCACATGGGTGAGTGGCCACCTTTACTCCACCAACCACACATGAGGGAGCAGGAGAAAGCAGGGGAGGGCTGTACACAGTGGCGAGCAGGCGGCAGACATTGCTCTGCTGCCGGAGCTCTCAGACGTGCTTTCTAAGAGGATCTCGGAACAGATCTGCGGCGCTGCAGCGCACATGGGTGAGTGGCTACCTTTACTTCACCAACCACGCATGAGAGAGCAGGGAGCAGGAGGCAGACATTGCGCTGCTGCCGGAGCTCTCAGACATGCTCTCTGAACTGATTTCCGAGCAGATCTGCGCCGCTGCTGCACACATGGGTGAGTGGACCTGCTGCCCCGCAAGAGCCATTTGTAGCGACCTTAAACTCTTGCTGCTCGTTTTCTCTGTTACACCCTTCTCTCTTCTCTCCTTTCCTCTCCCCTTCCACCCCCCCCACCAGCCGCCAAGCTCAAGGTGGATGCCATATTCGTCTACACGCACCGCGGCTACATGGCCTCGCCCATTCGCTCTCAACTTGACTCCTCTCCTCTCCAATCCCCTTGCTCTGCTCCCCGTGTGCCCTCAACCCCCCCCCCAGCCGCCAAGCTCAAGGTGGATGCCATATTCGTCTACACCCACTGCGGCTACATGGCCTCGCCCATTCGCTCTCAACTTGACTCCTCTCCTCTCCAATCCCCTTGCTCTGCTCCCCGTGTGCCCTCAACCCCCCCCCAGCCGCCAAGCTCAAGGTGGATGCCATATTCGTCTACACCCACCGCGGCTACATGGCCTCGCTGCTCTCGCGCTGCCGCCCCGATTGCCCGATCTTCGCCTTCACCTCCTCGCAGGTGCGTGTGTGCGTGAGAGGGAGTCCCTTGAACTCCTCGCAGGGGAGTGTGTGCGTGTCGTGTGTGAAAGATACCTGTCACCTCCTTTCGATACAAGTTTGAGGGTACCACTGCCTTCCCTTCCTTATGATGTAATCGTGTGTGTGATTTTGTTCGTTTTTTTTTTTTTCACTCCATCCACCCCTCTTCCCCCCTCCCCTTCCATGTACTCTTCCCGCTCTCCCTGCCCACAGGGAGTGCGGCAGCAGCTGAACCTGTCGTGGGGGATCCTTCGTAAGAGATGCTCCCTCTCACCAACCCCTCCACCTATCCACTTCCCCACCTCCCTCCTCTCGCTCTCCCCTTCCTCTCTGCGTGTCCACAGGGAGTGCAGCAGCAGCTGAACCTGTCATGGGGGATCATTCGTAAGAGATGCTCCCTCTCACCAACCCCTCCACCTATCCACTTCCCCACCTCCCTCCTCTCGCTCTCCCCTTCCTCTCTGCGTGTCCACAGGGAGTGCGGCAGCAGCTGAACCTATCGTGGGGGCTCATCCCGTTCCGCCTGGACTTCTCAGACGACATGGAGTCCAACATCCAGCGCACCTTCAACCTGCTCAAGGTATGCATGAGTGGAGAGAGTGGGGTGAGACATGGTGTCATTGGCATCTTGTGCTCCTTCGACCTGCGCAACGTATGTGTGGGTGTGTGAATGAGTGAGCGAGTGAGTGAGTGACAGTGGGTTGCAGTCCATGCATACGACACCCCATCCCATGTGTGTGGCACCCCATCCCATGTGTGTGGCACCCCATCGCATGTGTGTGGCACCCCATCGCATGTGTGTGACACCCCATCCCATGTGTGTGATACCCCATCCCATGTGTGCAGGCAAGGGGCATGATGAAGTCGGGAGACCTAGTGATTACAGTCTCAGACATCATTGGCAGCGACACTACCTTTGATGGAGGGCTGCAGTCCATGCAGATACGGAATGTGCCGTGAGTGTAACGTGCGAGATGCCAGTGGAGTGGATGAATTAGTCAGTTTTTATGTTGCTAGCTTACAAAGAGGCTGCATGCAAAAGGCGGCCATGAAGGAAGGAGTATTATGAGTAGGCTGATGTAGTATGAGTGCTTGTGTGATATGGTGTACATCTGATGTAGTTTCTAGAGCTGTGTCGTCGAAAAACTTTCCCCTGCTTTAGCAATGTCCTGGTATCACCTGGATCCAATGCCAGTCGTCAGCCCTAACTTGGCTGTTGCTTTAGTGCTCTTTTCATGAGGATCCTTCCTCCCTGTGTGCAATTATTGTTCAGATTCCAATAAACTCTTTAGATACCTCAGTGCTGACACATCTATTACACAACATTCGCGGAACGGTCAGTAACGAGTTTTAGCTGTCACGTAACGCGTGGCACCACGTGTCAAACTGTCAGTGTGCATCACGACCGCTAGGCCTAGCTGAAAGTGACGTGGCTCTTAGTGTTTTCTCGAAACGGCGCAGACACCCGCGACGCGCTGACTTCTGCATACGTGCCACGTGGGTAAACTTCATCTAGTTTGACCGTCACATTCGACAGCGTGGCATCAACCAACTGCAAGAAACCCATCGCTGAGTTGTCAGGGACCACACTAGATCTTCGGAAAACCATGGAATCTCGCGTATCCCTCCACTGTATCAAATCTGTCAATTCCGTCAACATCGGGCAGACCGACCGCCTCGATATTGGCTTCTGGTTGGTGGTCCGAGCAGAATTCCATCCCCTTCAGGCCTTCGGGTCGCATCGTGCCGTTGGTTGTTGTTGGGTCCTCCTCCCGTTCCGGGCTGCCCTCTTCATCCCTTCGTTGCCCTTATATTTTGTCGATCACCGCATCTCGACAAGGCCTGTCGTTTCGTTTTAGGGCCCCTGGACAAATCGGGGGGCCCGGCATGTACGACCCTGTATTTAGCAGGGTGGGGGCGGATTTCAGCTCTTTAGGCTTCAGGGCTGGTAATTCCTTCGAGTCAGGTTTGGCACGTAAAACTCTGCAGCCCCATTTCAACTACAAACCTTACAACTGCCCTGAGATTAAATACAACAAGCTGACATGATATGAAAAAACTAGTTAGCGTAATTTCACTACGCACGCTTAGCGAGCTTCCTAGCCTTGGCAGCACTGAAGATCTAGTGAACTTCTGTGTCTCGTGGCAAGGGAGCGAAGCTGTGATTGGCGTAAGTACAAGTTGTAGGTTGAGTTGAATTTGTAACCCGACCACGCAACTCCAAATTTGCCACTCCAAATTTCCCAGGTTGATGCAATCAGGTCAGGATAGAAACGAGGGGGACCGGGGAGTGGAGGAGCTGGGAGTTGGGGGGAGGGCGCAAAAAAAAAATTGTTCCAGGGAACGCCGAAAATCTACCCTAGGACCGGGCCTAAGCCCGAAATCAGCCCTGCAAGGAATCAGGGCCAGAAAATTTCCAACTCATCAATTTCAGTTTCGAAGGAAGGTCCCAGCCCTGGAATTCAAGGTCCAGCAGGGCAAACGCCCAGCATGCGACAGGCCTGATCTCGACCTCAATTCAGGAATGGCGAGGGGGAGGGGATGGGGCAGCGCACCCATCCCCCAACGATGCGGAAGCCTTGTGTGCACCGGGCGGAAGTAGTCGTGACGAAAATCGGAAATTCTGCAACGAAGCTGTGAGCAACACGCGGCGGTTGGCGGCGAGGCCAGGTTCTCGTGTTCGCAAAGGCTGAAGAAGCATCGCGCGATCCGCGAAAGTGTTGCTCGATTTCTGGCAGGAGCAGTTTCGTTCGAGGCGCGAGGCCAGCCCACTGCCTTGGGGTTGGATTGAGATTACAGCGGAAGGTAGTTGGGTTCGGAGTCAAAAGATAGAGAGCGCATTCTAGTTTGCAAGCATTGTTTACTTCTATCCCTCGCTTCGTGTCGCTCGCATCGCATCTACATACGCTCCCTTAGCCAGATTCTCAGTCGCTTAGGCAATTTCGACACCGACCCCGACGCCGAGCTCTAGACTCTGAGATTCTTAGCGACTATGGCTAGTCCCGCCTCCAAGATTGTTGCGAGCATAACCGGAGCTGCTGCCGGACTGCTGGCCTCGTATGGCTATCAAGGTTCCAATCAGGTAATTACTTGACAGACTCTTGTCGTCGTGTCTTATCCCGAAAGCCGTTTTTCTCGCTCTCCGTTCCGTCAACACATGTTTTCTCATTACTAAAATATTAAAGCCTCGCCATAATATTTTGTTTGCAGACCAAAGTCTCCAACTGCCAAGCCGCAGCGACGACCGCCGACGCCGCTCCATCGTCGGCCTCGCAGAAGCCTCAGAAGCCGGTGGCTCCCATCCGCTGCGCCATCGAGCTTGACGGACTCGAGCTCTTCGAGACCCTCGCTCGGTGACCGGAGACATCGTTTTCCTCATCACAACATGGTTTCTGTGAACGACAAGTCTTTCTAAGAACGACAACCGGGAGGGGATTACATGAGCCGGGGTTTTATTGAGGAGTTGTAGAGAAGTTGTCGTCAGATCGCGAAGGACTCAACCGCTTTAGGCTGCAAGTCTGGGGTGTGAAGACGGCGGGGGAGATTTGAAGGCCTGGGCAGAACAAAAGAATAGTTGGTGGTCAGCGGCGGTCTTTGTGGCTGCTATTCACGACGTGTCGCGCTCGTCATTATTCGGACCTGGTCATGCTTCCTCGATGGCCCTGGTCTTCAATTTTGTAGCTAGGTTCCTCCCCCGTCGTTTGCCGAGTACATACCCCCCTTCATTATCATCGGTATTATAGGAAGACTTCCTTTCGCGTATCTCCACACCACAAAATTTGGCTTTCCGATAGATGTCATGCATTCCGTCTTCTGGGCAAGAGTTTTCATTTGTGAAGGAACCAAATCATGCAAATAATAATGAAGATAACTGATAATATCATGTGCATAAGCATGAAGAGTTACTCTCCTTCATACTCTACCAGTACATACAGCGGCTTTGATCCTAGCTTCTCACGTCCCTGAAACTCGAAGCAAAGGAGAAGTGAAGGCATGCTTTAGTTGACACCAATTTCCCTCATAAAAATCAGAAACACAGATCCAAAAAAGACAACCATACCTTCAAATCAGGAAGCTCAATGACGCATGTACACTCCTCCACTTGTGCTCCAGTTCGCTCTGAAAAGCCATGGTATGGGGACCAAGGGGAACGTGTTCAAGCGAGCGCAAGGGAGACAAACGGAGTGAGTGGGCAACGGGAAGCAAGGGAAACGGAGTCACAGGAGAGGTGGAGGACGGAGGGAAACGGGAGCAGGAACACTTGACGAAATGAGTTGAGGGAGGAGAACCCAGCACAAAGACGAGGGGAGGGCTGCAGCATCAACGAACTTGATGTTTTTTGCGTAGGGATTACCTCAATCCTATTTGACAGATGTTACCAGCACCACAGCGTACCTATCCAGCGGAAGCCAGCGCCAAGAGTTCCCCCTGTAGCCACGAGATCGTCCACCAGCAGCACCTTGTCCTCCGGCCCCACAGCAGCTCCTTCAGGGTATTTGTACTTTCCAGCATACGTTCATAAGAAATTTCGTACCTAATGCCAGCGCCAAGAGTTCTTTAAGTCGCCTCAAAACAGCGTACCTATCAAACGGATGCCAGCGCCAAGAGTTCCCCCTGTAGCCACGAGATCATCCACCAGCAGAACCTTGTCCTCCGGCCCCACTGCCCCCAGATGCATCTCTATCTTATCCGTTCCGTACTCCAACGCATACTCCTCGCTGATCGTCGCGCCTGAGAGGAGGGAAGAAGTGGAGAGGCGATACCCAGTGAGAAGCCGAACTGACAACGAGGAGCATTGCATTGCAATCTCATCCGACCCATCCCAAACACCAACGAATCGTCGCGCCTGAGGAGGGATAACGTGGAGAGGGAATAGCCAGTGAGAAGCCTGACATAGAGGAGCATTGCACTCTTCTCCAGGTACTTATTCTTCATGATTTGACCCGACCGAAGGGAAGGAAAAAGATCGACAGGGATGGAGAAATGGGAGGGGGGAGGTTAATGGGTTTGTACGAATGAGTGGAAGGAAAAATTGTGAGCCATAAGTCCAGCCATGCCGGGACATAATGTGTTGATTCAACTCCTACAAATGTTTGATATTTTACAGGTGGTTTATGTTCTACAGATTATCGGAGCTCTGAGCGACTCGGTTGGTGTTCGTGAGGGTTCCTGATCAGTGTGACTGAACGACAATTGTGCTGCTGACCTGGAAGCTTCCGTGGTTTCCGGAGGCAGACGAACTTGGCTCCAATGGCGAGTGCAATTGGCGGGCCGAAGATGAAACCCCGTGCTTCGATTCCTGATGAAAAGGTTACCAAAATCCAAGGGTTCACAATCGTCAGGGTTTAGGAAATAAGTCAGGTGAATGGTTTTGACTTTGATGAATGGGTGGGATTAGGGGGAAAACAGCACGCAGAAACCAACCGGCTTTAGTAGGGTCAACTGCATGGAAGCTAGAAGAGGAATACGTGAACTGTCAAAAGCGTAACTGTCATAGACGGAGGAACTGTGCTAACACGCGTACCAGCGACGGCGGTGTAGCCCTTGTCCTTGTAGCGCTCGACGAACATGTCGATGCAGTCCTGAAACGCCTTGGGCTCCAGCAGCAGCGTCGTGACGTCGCGGAACATGATGCCTGAAACAAGCATCAATGTCACACAGTGTCAAGCAAATTAGAACTGCCTGAAAACATTGTCTTGGCAAGAACAGCGTCACGGAACAGCGACCGTGCATCCAAGGAAGGATTATCATAACGACCAAAGGCTACAATGCGTAGTCACTAAAAACACCCGCATCGGGGGACAGCGCGAGTCACGGAGGCGCTCACCCTTCTTAGGCCAATCAGGGATGGCTCGGATGGACTTCTTAATCCCTTCCACCCGGCTATCTCCGTCCCTGTCAGCCGACATGGTCGTTTGTGGGCGAGTAAAAGCTGGTCGGTAAGAGAACGGCGCTAGCTTTGGCAGCAGAAGGGAGACCGGATGCACGCGTGAAAGGGACGACCTCACAAGCCCGAGCATGAAATGCTTCTAAGCAAAGCTTGATCTGAAAGAACTGCGGAACACTGCAATTGTAAAATAGGTGTTGATTGACTTGTGGATTCTGGTTTTATCCCTTGATCAGCAGCACCAACAGTCTGCTGAGGGCACGTAATTTTCGCTGCCCTACAAAAGACTGCCAGGTTTATCCTGGTGCGCAATGGTCTAAAGCGGTGAAGACCGTAGACCGCTCCTAAACGTCATTGACCGTGTTAGACCGCGACACCCGAACCCTGATGTGACCCGCCTGAACACTGCCTGGGAGGGGTGGGGGTTCTACCGTTTTTTCAACGCCACGCACCGCATTAAAACGCGCTAAACGCCTGGACGCACCGCCAAGGTAACCTGCTGCGGCTTCGGGACTCTTATCTGGTATTGCAAGTTGGCTGTTCGCGTGGGCAGTTCGAGTAAATACAACTCGGGTCGGGTACGACTTCCCCCCGTAGATTCTGAAAGCACAAGAGAAATGACGGCCGCATAATACAGTATGGGTTTATTCGGGTGCAAAAACCACTCTGGAGAATACATGGTAGGCTTGCTTCTTCATACGACACATGGTCCCAGATCTCCCAAAGTACTGGGAACCAATCAAGGTACCTCGGAGTTTGGTAAAGTTGAAGGGTGGGCAAGTGCCCCTGCCTCTAGGGGTGGCATCGAATTCTTCCACCACATATTACACCCTGTTTCGCGCTAGCAGAGCATCTGGTTGCAGAACATGCACTGGTTGTAGAACGTCACCACGTTTGAAATGGTCTTATCACCGACGGTACAAGCACATTCACAAGAAAGCGGTTAGCTAGGATGCTGCATGGTAAAGAACATTAACCAAGCTATTCAAAGCGGTTGAAAAGGGTATACAGCGATAAAGAAAAATTTTGCCCCCAGTACCACTCCGTCAGCTGGTGCGGCTTTGCCCGCAGGTTTCAGCCATACGGTTTATGGCACCTGACCGCACTGTAGCAGCGAATCGCGCAAGGTGAGAGGGTCGAGAAACAGGGTGTAGTAACCATTGAAAGTGATACACGTGTGAATGTATGATTAGCTCGCAGCTATTTCTGAGGGAGGGTTATAGACTATATCGAGAATGTATACTACTTTGCTGCTGACTGATATAGACTACAGCGAATGTATAATCTGCCTTGTTTGTTATAAGCCTCGTTTGGGATGATATGAGTGCTATTTCAAAACCGGAACCTTAAAGCATTTTCGAATCTCCGCCGCGCTGGGATCCTTACCTTGTCTCTTGGTGGTTATTCAAGGAGTTATTCGATCAAAATGCAAGGTTTGTTTTCTCCTGCTTCCGTCGGTTCCGTTGGCGCATCCGCTCCAATACACGCCTTCATCCAACGCGCCAATCGGCTGCTGACACGTGTCGGCAGCCTGCCTCCTAACAAGCTCAGCGCAGAGTGTCGCCGTCGCCTCACGAAGCTCATCAGTCGCGAGCGAAAGTTCCTGTCCTCGATATTGGCTCAGTCGAATCCCGATACTGGTCACACGGAGCAGCCAGCACAGCAGAAGGCGCCGCGAGGTTCAGGATGGGTGGCGAAACGGCTTCCAAGGCAGGTGATTGTAACGGATACTAGGTGATGGCGGTGGTGTAACGGATACTAGGTGATGGCGGTGGTGGCGACAATATGCAAGCATACCTGATGCAAATGCATTACTGATAAACAACCAGAATAAAACGCATCCAATAATCACGTATTTCTCCTATTTCTCTGTCTCCTCCCATCCCCCTGTAGTCTCTCACTCTACTCCCTCGTCCCAATGATCCAATTTCCCCATCTCTGCCAAGCAGTTCCAACCTCCCCCACATGGAGACGATTGTTGCCGCCCTATGTCACACGCTGGTCTCTCAAGCGTCGGCAGCCATGACGCACTTCCCCACCGCCGCTGCCGGGGCCAATGAAAACCCGGCACATCAGCATCCTGCCACTGATCCAGCGATCAAGCTTGATCCAACGGTTCACATTGATCCAGCAGTGCACGTGGATCTCGTATGTCTGTTCGACGGCCTGCCCACGTGGCTGCTGGCAACAGCTCGCAACCCCAACCGGATAGCTTATCATGACTCAGCGCCAGTGTCAGCCGCATGGGAGGGAAGCATTCCCGGTGAGGCTGCCATTCCACCAACGTATCTGACTCGAAACATGTCGTGGATTGGCAATGAGCAAGTCTGTCAGGCTCAGTTGTGTACTGCACGTTGATGTGGTCCGTGAAGCATTGACGAGAAGAAAAGTGCAGGGTGAAAGCTCAGGGTGTTGAAGGCTTAGGGTGTTGAAGGCTTAGGGTGTTGAAGGTGAGGTGTGTGGACGGTCTGGAACAATCAAGTAAAGTGTCACCTTCAACACCCAAAGTGGTCCATCTAGGACCGGTTAGGACCGTTTATTTAGGAGAAAGCGGTCCTAGATGGACCACTTTGGTCCACAGCCCACCTCCACGCCCTGCCCCACCCCTCATGTCCCCCCTTCCGTTCTCCCTCTCATCCGTACACCCCCCTATTCTGCCCCCATTCGTTTCCCCCTTCATCCCCCTCATTCTCCCCTTAATTCTCCCCCATCTTCCCCCCATCTTCCCCCCCGCTTACTCCCCCTTCCCTCCCCAGTCCCCCCTGCCCTCCGCTCATCGGATCGCGGCATTCGGCGTCGCATTCTCTCTGCCCAATCAGCAGCTGCCACGTGTCCCCCCGCAGCCAGGCCAGAGGCTGTGGTGGTGGTGTTTGGGAGGGGCGTGCGGGGGAGTGTGGCGGCGATGGTGGTGAGGGACATGGGGGGAGAGAGAGTGGTGGGGAGGGGCATGGGGGAGAAAGGGAGGGAGAGTGTGGGGCGGATGGTGGAAGTGGGTATGGGGGAGGAGAGTGTGAGGGAGAGTGGAGGGATTGCGGTTGAAAGAGAAAGAGTATGTGGTATGATCAGTGGGGAAAACGGAGGGGAGAGAGAGGAGATCATGGAGGAGGGGGGCACGGTGGGTGGGCGAGGAGATGCAATGGTAGAAGATGAGGAAGAGTGTATGGAAAGGGAGGAGGATGAGATGGCTGACATTTGGGAAGAGGAAGATGATGAGGAGGAGGAGGGTGAGGAAGATGACTTTCGTGTGCTGGTTGGTTCAGAGGAGCAAAGGAGATGGCGGGATAGAGGAGAAGGAGGAGGAGTAGAAGGAGGAGGAGGGGGAGAAAAGGAATGGTTGGGGAGTGCGAGCATGCACTTTGATAGGGATGCGGGTACCTCACATGCTGCTGACGTGGCGCATGGTGTGTGGTTCCGTATTTCCACGCGTGCCCTGCCAGAACACGTGGCAAGGCTGCTGGGCTGTCTGCCCACTCAGCCAATTGCACGTGCTGGTGTGGCAGGAGATGCGCGTGGCAGTACAGATCCACATGCACACCCATCTGGCAAAACACCTGACGAAACACCTGAGGAAGGTGGTGTTTTTGATTCAAAGGGGGCAGCTGGAGTGCTAAACCTGGATGTGACAGCAGCGGTGGCTCTGGTATCAGAGCTTTCACATGGGGGCGCACAGCGAATCGCAGGATTGGCAGAACCAGACCTGCGGGCGAGGTTTGGAAACACATGGCAATTTATGAGAGATCAGGTTGGTGAGTGGTGGCGGGTGGGGAGGGTGGAAAGGGGGATGGGAGTGAGGCAAGGCAGATGGTGGGGGTGGGTTGGATACAATGGTGTTGGGGAGAATACTTCAGGTATTGGGAGGCGGTGGGAGGGGTTGGGAGGGATTGTGAGGGGTTGTAAGGTTTAGAAAGCAGCCGCGCCCTGGTAGCTGCACCCTGCATTTGTGATCTCATGTGTGCCAATCATGTATGCATGTATGAGCCGATTATACATGTATCAATCTTGTATGAGCGTGTAGGAGTGCCTACCGTGCATGTCGCTTTCGTGATGCTCTCTTCAACCATGCCTTTTCCTGTGCAAACAAATTTCTGTCACGAACTAACTTTTTGCTCTCCCCATGTCCCTGTGTCGCCATTTGTCAGGCACAGGCCGAGTTGGCCCAGCCTCAGCTGCAGCTTTTGCAGGAATGTCTCGTCAACAAGGACTTGATCATGTGTGAAACGGCTTATAAAGAGTTCTCTTCCATCGTGGATGTCATTGCTGGACCCAGGGAGAAGCAGAGAGCTGCTGCTCTGTTTTCAGCGCATGTCAGGTATGCAAGGCACGTGAATGGGGCAGGTAGCAGCGTAATGAGCAAATGATTTATGCACAATAACCTTAAATTATTTATCCTAGTCTCCTGTGTCATTAGTTTTTACACCGCACTGCTCCCTGCCATTTTTTCTGCTAACCTTTTTTTTTTCTCATTTTACCTGCAACGCAGAGTGGTGCCGGATCAGCCCTCCTCTCGACTGCTCTCCCTGCCCTCCACTGCACGAATCAAGCAGCGCCACGTCATCATCTTCGGGACGGCCGACATCTGGAGCTGCGCAACACTGTCTGCCAGCTCAGCATTTGTTCGGGCGGCTCGCCATGCTGGTGCATTGGTGAGAGTGGTTGAGCACCGCCCGTGTGCGTTGATGGGGGAGTGAGTGAACGTCCGAGACTGGAATATGAAGAGGATAATATAGCAAGGGGTATTGGATCCTTGAAATGAGTGTTCGTACCACATGTCAAGGCGTTTGTGGTGGTGATACCGTCGCATCAGCAGTAGTGCAGCGTGCCGTTTGCAGATCTCAGATGGTTCAAATTGAAAGGTAAGGGTTGATTTTCCTGCAAAAGGCCACCAGGTATCCCCAATTTCAGCGTTGTATCGCTAGTTTTTCTTGAGATGTCTTTTTTGTTAGGGAAAAGATCAACCAGGGGCCGAACATTGCCATAGGAGTGTTCAAAGTAGGGCCGGTAAATCTCGACCATATGATTTCAGCCCAGAGCTGCCCAACCGACTTGGCGAACAAGCCGAACCGGGAGTAAACGATATTTGCTAGAAGAACCAAATTCTGTATTCATGTTTTTTATTGAGGGTTTTGACCTCCGTCTACTACAGCGCGCGCGCCGCGTCGCCTTCTTCTGGAAGTAAAGTTTGGCGGATCAAATCGTGAGTACGAATAACATTCGGATTGTAGACGCACTGGAAAAAAATATATTACCTACCCGATTGTAGACGCACTGGAAAAAAATATATTACCCCATTCGGAAACAGATGTGACTCGGGAGGCATCAACCCTAAATACCAGGAAGTTATCCGTTTTAGGGTTGACCCATCCCGAAAATGCATCCAGGTTCCCTAAGAGATGTAGTTTTTTTTTTGCTGCCCTAAGAGTTTCCAGTAGAGTCGGCTCGCTAAACGACACGCGACCGAAAATGCGAGCCGGTACATGCCACTAATAACATAATTACGTGCAATAAAGGAAGACCCTATGTTAATCCCTCTATGCGCAGCGGTTTGGGAAGTTCAGGGCCTCTCGGCCAGTGGTTGATCTTTTCCCTTTTTGTTATGCTTCCTTGCATGGTGTAACTGCTTCGTGTCCCTGATCATGCCACCGAACTTCTACGACAAGCGATGGTCACCCCTTATCGAAGCCCACACCGCTTGGCTCCAAGACTTCGGTGTGCACTAACGCCTGTCACCTTCACAAAGCCAATCAGGGCTTGTAATCAGGGGCGCCTTGTGGTTCGGATGTGCTGGGTTCACCAGTAGAACCCTGAACAAACCAAACCGAGTATTTTTCCGAGCCGTGAGCAAACCAGACCATAGCAGTCGCCGCAGCCTAGTCACCATGCCAGATAGTCTCGATTTCGGCTTGGCGGTGGTGGCGGCAGCATGTCCCGCCCAGTTTCACCCCACATCAGCCACGTCCGACATCCCCACAACTTTCTGCGCGCTCGATTTCCTCCAGCCATTCGTGTGCTGTTTTTTGAATTTTCCTCCTCACATTGACCCGCGCCGCGTTTGTGCTAGGGTGGTTGAGTGGGTGGTACTCTGCGGTGGTGCTGTTCGTGTGCTGTGCATCCCCCTCCCAAGCTTTGGCTTCTTTCAAAGCTTTGGCTCCCACCAAACTGGCACAATTCGCGCCTATTTCCCCCGACGACTAACCATTTCTGCTGCTCGCGCTGCGAGCTACGACCGACACTAGAGCTATAGCGTCACCGCATTACCATGACGATTCACTCAAGCGACTACACGCCACCATGCCACTTCTGAGGCGGCTCGAAAAGTTTGAAGTTTGGTAGATCGCCGATTTCCCCTCGTGTTAGAAGTTAGGTGTCCATAGCTGGCGAGAAGTTTGTCATTTCCATTGGCTTTTGAGCAACTCACTCTCGGGATCATTTATAGCAGCGTAGGTGCATTCCGCGATGTGCTCTAGCTTCGTCTCATAAACTCAAAACGAAGATTAAGCCTGACACGTATATTTCCCCGACAATGCCCGCAACAGCGACTTCAACGGCCTGCCGTCCCACCACCCCAGCCAGTAGTGGCGGATTAATCGCGAACCGTTACCGCCGCATCCGTCTCGTCGGCCGCGGCTCGCAAGGAACTGTGTGGGAGTGCGAAGACGTGATTACTAGCCTCCGAGTCGCGTGTAAGAGCTTCCCCCATGGAAACGCTTCAATTAGCGACGCGCGCCTCGGCATCTGCGCCGAGCTTTGCGGGCTGAAGATGGTGTCAGGCCATCCTAACATAGTGCGGCTCGTGGAGTTCGCTGTAGATTCCTCAGAAGTTCATATCATTATGGAGCTTGCCCAGGGCGGTGATGATTTACTGTCGGAAGTCATGCGACGCGGTCCGCTCGCCGAGCCGCTCGCCGCTAACGTTTTCCGTCAACTCGCGTCGGCCGTCGCATTCTGCCACGCCTGCGGCGTAATGCATCGAGACGTGAAGCCCGACAACGTGCTGCTCGTGCGAGTCGACAGTTATTCGCAGCAGCGCCCGCCGTCCGCTCCGCCGCCGCTAACTCTTCCGCCGCGAGACGGCGGAAACCGCCGCAACGCGCTCCTCGCGCCAGCTGCGCAGCAGCGTCCGCCATCCCCCCCGTCCCCGCCGCCGCCTCTGACGCTTCCGCCTGCGCCGCACTCCGCCACTGTCGCTTCTAACAGCTGCTTCGATAAGAGCACAACGATCTCAACACGGTTTGGCATGTCTGGAATAGACAGCCCCGTATGTTGTAACGAGGCGAGTTCCAACAGTCCTGTGGCGAATCGCGAACCGTTTGGCAAGATGGATGAAAACTGCAGCAGCACCAGCAGCAGCATGGGTAACCGCAGCAGCAGCAGTTGCAGCACCAGCAGCAGCGTGAGTAACCGCAGCAGCAGCAATAGCAGCGGCGGCAGTAGCAGCGGTGGAGGCAGTAGCAGTGGCGGAAGTGGTGTTGACTCACTGCCTAATCTACGAGACATCAAGAGTATTTTCTCCAGGAGCTTCCCTAGTTCGTCCAATAAAAGCACGTCTCTCTCGCTCCTCCCCGCAAACCACTCCGACCCAGCGCGCAACCCGCGCTCCCCCTCCCCCTCCCCCTCCCCTTCTCCCTCTCCGTTCAATCCCGCCACCTCTTCCGCCCCGTTTCCGAACGCCTCTTCCGCCACGCTAGTTCCCGCTTCCCCCGTTGCCACCCGTTCCCCTGCTGTCCCAGTTTCCCCCGACCGCGGAATCGTTGGGGTGAAACTCGCCGATTTTGGTGCGTCGATTGCGGTCAAGGGCGGGTTATCTGGGCGTGTTAAAGACCGCGGCGCTGGCACGAGGGGGTATAAAGCGCCGGAAATGGGCGGGAAAAGCGGATACGACATGAAAGCTGACGTGTACAGCATGGGGATCACGCTATGCGCGATGCTGACGGGTCACATTCCTGACACGCCATTGGTCGACTTTCACTCGGCCATCTGGAAGGGCGTGTCTGCCGATGCGAGAGATCTCATCCGTAGGATGCTCGAAGGAGACCCAGATCAACGGCTGAGCTCCTTCGAGGTTCTTGAGCATCGGTGGTTGAATCGAAGCGAGGTCCGGAATCTGGACATTGCAACCAGGTGCCCTTCGTTATTAGCATCCCTGCTACCGTCACCTTCGCTGTTATCCCCCACATCCCCGAGGAAAGTGACAGCAACAGCCGCAGACACAGCCGTACCAGCAGACTCCCTTGCTGTAGCAACAGATTCTCTGGCGTTTGCGTGGACGCCACGTGGCAGCTCGTCGTTTTTGATTTCGTCCCCGTCTGGTGCAGCGGGTGTGTCGACTCGTCAAAGAGGGATATCGGTTTGCACTAGCTGTGCTTCAATAAGCTGCGCCTGAGCTCTGCAATAACTGCTGTTGTCCAGCTGAAAGCAATAAGATCAGTAGTGTTTGCAGCCAACGTCTTCACACATCAATGATCCAACACACATAAACCTGCCTGCCATGATGCCATCAATACCTAGGCTTGAAAGATGTTTTTGTGTTTGAAAATAAGCACCAGTCGACTCCAGTTGAGTGAGGCCATCGCAAGCCATGCCAGGTGAGAAAATATCGATTGTTATGGTCAGGGTCCTTGCTGCCAGTACATACAGAATCAATAAGATTATGGTAAACTTGAGGTACCGTATAGTGATTCGTCTCCTGACTGACTCTAAACGGATTATTTTTGTGGGGGGGTGATGTGTCTGGCAGGCGTATTGTTGATGCTGTTACAAACGCGGAACCTCAGGCCTCCAACGGGATTCTTTTGTTTTGATCCGGAAATTATCTTTCGGATATCCGAAGAGCTGCTGACGACTGGTCGGCATTTATTTCACGGGGGTAAAATACTACCAACTTATGCTTTACTGCACCACCAACTTAAGGGACGAAGATGTCATGATTATATACAGTACAGTTTTGACCTGGCATTTGCAGGGTATGGCCGAAGCCTTCGTTTCTCTCCAAGACTGTAGTTCCCTGCCCTTTGCAGTCCAATCTTCTCGTGGGGCCCGCCAAAATGGGACGTCGCACACTACGTTGGCAGACACCCACCCACCCACCCCACCCCACCGCCCCCCAGAGTGTTGGGCTGAAATGCCCCTTAGGATCTTTGGTAGGATGAAACTCTAGGTAAAGTGATGTAATAGCGGAAGCGTTTAAGAGAAGATTCTGAACCACCTTGCGCTGGTATGTGAGGGCAAATTAAGTTGATTAAAGCAAAGAGATACAAGATTATATAAGAGTACAAGGAATACGAACAGATACGGTTGTAACTGCTTTTGCTGTTGCTTGTTGCGGTTCGATACAGTGACGACTCGGGCAACTGCTCAGTATCGAGTCAGTTGTGTGTCCTTGATGTCGCGCTGTATTTGTCAAGTCAAAGGTCGCTGACCTTTGATCTTCACGTAACCTCCAGCGGTTACTTCAACCTCCGAGGGTTGACTCGCTAGTGCCTCGATTAGATTTGCTTCGCTCGTGCCTTGGTGTTTCGACACGATAGAAGCACTTTAGGACCAATTGTTTCCAACACTCCCCTTCGCTTCTGGAGTGTCGCTGACGTGGCTCTGTCCAGTCAGCAACATGCAGTATTCGAACTTCTGCTTTTCGAGTTTCTTGGTCAAGTAGTCAGCTGCCATCTCGGACGTGGGACAGTATGACAGGACG